GAGAGAGAGAGAGAGGAAGTGAGAGGGACTGGTATCGGGAAAGCTGGTTGATATTTGGCGGGCTGACTACGGGCAATCGGAAATTCGGCCGTTCGTGGCATGCGCGATAAAACGGCGAGACGGTACCGGAATGTACCAGACACCGAGTCCTATTTTCTCTCGCTTTCGGTCTCGTTTCGACGTTTCCAACCCTCTTTCCCGCGCCGAGTGACTCCCGCTTTCTTTCCTCGGGCGATCTCGCGTGGCGAATCGAGTCGGATCAACTCCCGAATGAAACTTCATCGAGTTCCTTTTCCTAACGGATGGCTGATGTAGAATGTATCTTGGAGCGAGAAAAAAAACGCTGGCTCGATTAAAAAATGGAAATAAATGCGAAAGCTAGAACGAAAATGGGGTAAAATGAATAAAAATTTTGAAATTAGAAATTCAAACGGCGGATAGAGACGCGTAAAGAGACAGGTTTGGAACTTGAGTATTTTTTAATCTCAGAACATGCCCAGAAGATCAGAAAATCAACGAAATTAATTGCAAAAGCACGTGAAAAGGAAAGCAGTTTAAAGAAGTTTCGGATGAGCGAAACGTTCTTTGCGCATTTATTTCGGTGGAAATGATTTTTTATCAAAGATAAATTCTTGAAGAGCGGCTCAAAACAAGCAAAAAAAAATGATAAAAAAATATCGTTCTAATTAATAAATTATAATAATCATGATATGCGAGTGACAATCTTTCAGCAGTCAAACGCATTTCCATTCGTCGTTCGCGTTTCGGCTCCCGTGATTCGCCTTGATTGCTATTCCGTAGCCTATTCATCTCTTTGTGGTGCCGCATACGGCGAACGCGCGACGATGACGACGACCACGACGGCAATGACACGAGCGTTGCGTCGCGTCGCGTCGCGTCGCGTCGCGTCGCACCGCGTCGCGCCGCGTCGCAGCCGCAATGCAGCGCGCAACCCAGAGAGAAGAAAAATCGTTCGCCGGCCGCCACCGAAACTTCGGTGCCTTCCTTCCTTCCTTCCTTCCTTCCTTCCGTTCTTCCTTCCTTCCTTCCTTCCTTCCTTTTGCTTTCATTCGCTCTCACCTCGCACCGGTTGCTTCCGTAGCGGCGGCGTAACTATCAACTTTTTTATCGAACTTCTACAACGAAGAAGAAAGTTCTTTTAAATCGGAGATGAACTATTTGACGCATCTTTAGCGAGCAGAAAAACAGTTTAATTATTATTATTATTAGCGTTAGTAGATTAATTCTTTTAATATATCATTTTTACTAAAAGCTTTTTCTTGTTTCCGCGCGTGAAATAATTTGAGATCGCAGCTAATTTTTCTGAAGAGTTCGTTCGATCGATCGACAAGGCGAGATACAATTGGACGATCGTGCGAATTGTTTATTCGAAAGGTTTTGCGTTCCGCCGAAGAAATTGCGTTTACGACGGACGTAGGGACCTACGAAGGAACGTTCTTGAAACGCGGCCACTCTTAAGTGCTGATTTCATCAACGTCGGAACGTGACTTCGCAATCGTGAGAACGCTTCAAGCGTTTATCCACAAAAGATTCCGAGGAGACTGATGTTTATACCCACATTTTAAACGCATGCGCCTTAATATTTTCTTTTTTTTAAATCCTTTAGAGAAAAACAATCCTCAAAGATGTTATTTTCTTTTTTTTTTGAAGAGAGAAAAGAAGAAAAACATAACATAAATCGCTCTTAATATTATTAACGCTCTAGAATTTCCGTTACCGTATCGAGGACTATTACACATGGAGAAAACAATTTTGACCTATTTAATGAACATTTATGAAATTCTGGATGTTAACCGAGAACAATTTGCAAATTGATATTATCCATCTACAAATGAATAATTTGATCGTGACCAAAGTGAAAGTAATTATGACTCGGCAATTCACGTACAATAAATATGTGATAAAATGTGAATATAATGCATAGCTTCGTACAATATAACGTGATTACAATATTATTAATATTTTTATATGTAAATATCAATGCGGAAAAAATCAAACGTGACAAACATTTATTATGTAAAATAAACTGAAATTCAGCAAAATTTTACTAAATCTTTACTTCTCTCTATTAATCTCAAATTACAAATTATAACAATTTAATCGAGTTATGTACAAAGTGCAATTTAAAACAGTTTTTCCTTTCTTCTTTAATAACACGACTATTTAATAAAGACACTCCAGTACACAAACGCAATGATTTTTATTGCATGAATTTTCACGTGAATTAAACTTGCTTTAAAATTGAACTGCACATCTATAGGACTCCACTTTTTAATGACGTTATTTTTTAATGATAGAGTCTTTTAGAGCCAAATTTCTCTCTCCCTCCCGTAAAACTCTTTTCTTAGAAAAAGAAAAAGATAAAGAGAGAAAATATAATCGCCTAGTGTTCCGCATTCTTCATTTTTTAGTGAAGACCAATCGGTAAGGATTCAGATCCTTAATTAAATTAACGATTGACGGTGATCTCTCGCGTCGCATCGATCTTGCGGCGTGTCCCGTCTGTTGAGAAACAATTGGTAGCCGGGACAGGACGGGGGTTGAATCGGTGAAATGCATAATTGTGGAATCGAGCATAGGGGGTTCGGCACGACGTCACTATTTTTAGTCCAATCCTGATTGGGCGTGCGAACGTGTTTGCGCGTCCGGTGTTTGCTCTCCGCATAAATTTGCTCTTTCGCACTCTCTCTCTCTCTCTCTCTATCGCTTCTCTCTATTCACCCTCGGTCCACCCTCTCGGATCCGGTCGGTTTTCTAACTTTCCGCTTCTCGCAGTTAGGTCAATTTTCGCGCTTTACCGAGCTTTCCGGCACGGCCGAGCGATCCCGATCTGACGTTTATTTGCGCGGATCCTGTTGACGTTGCGCAAATCGAATCGATTCGAACGAACCCTCCTTTCGCCCTTAGCGAGAAACATTGCGACTATTGCGAGGAGGATAATTCAAAGAGATATAATTGAATGCGCCTAATTGGTATAACTGCGAATAAAATCCAGCATTCTTTTTTTTTCGTCATTTCTCCCAGTTGGATCGATTTCAACGCGATTTTTTCGGCGTTTTTTCGCGGATGTACGTTGTCACAGGACCAAGGAGCGAGCGAACGAGCGCGAGCGAGCACGAGCGAACGGTCCGCGCTCGTTCGCCCGGTCCCTGGTTCCGGTCTTAATGAACACGAAACGCGAATCCGTGACTCTCGACGAAGGCAAATTATCCCGGCGATGTCCGAGCTGGTTATAAGTTTAGATAAAAATAGAGAGATACCTCGGATACACGGCGAATATATATACGTGTGTGTGTTAGTATAAATAATAGTAGGACACGATCGAACGTAACGTATTAAAGTATTTACGGAGGTCTGCGGTAAAAGAACGATACGTCCGCCGACGGTGAGTCCTCGCTTCGCGACGCCTCGCGCTGTCTTCCCCCATCGCTCGTTCCTCGAGCGAGGACTTTAAGGAGACGACGGCGGCGGCGGCGGCGGCGGCGGCGGCGACGTCGTCGTCGTCGTCGTCGTCGTCGTATCGCACAAAGCGCCGCACAAATTGGACAGGAAATTAGACCGGGCTCTTCCAATAGAGCGAAAGAAAAGGCTCTTTGATGTAAAATGTTTTCTTACCGTTTCGACATCGGCAAAACGTTGCCGGGAATCGACGTCATAGTGAGTAAAGGAGGAAGACCAATAAGAGTCTAATGGCTAGCCTTCTATTCGAGAGAGATATCGTCGGCGGTCGGTCTTTTGCTGACTTTTATTCTCTAATGGCTAGCCGTCAATTCTCCGAGCAGAAACACCGTCGAGAGTCACTGCCGGGAATCATGTTTATCGCCACCGCGAGGGCCGACACGAAGGACAAGGGAGGAGGCGGGAAGGGGGGGAATAGCTCTTTTTTATCTTTTATCCGCTTTACTTGCCGAAGTTACCCTGGAGTTGAGCGCGCGGCGATCGGGGCGCGCAATTAAAGCGCAGTCGCTTACGAAAAAACGTTTCACATTCGCTCCACTTCCATAGAAGAAAAAAAAAAAAAATATAGATTTAGCTTTTTGTTCGACGATATAGACACGAGGCGCGCGCCGCATTGTCGGCGGCGGCTTTATCGTCCGCATCTCCGTTCTTGCCCTATTGTTTATCGCTGTCGTCGTTACTTATCATTCTGTTGCAGGAGCTAATCGGATTACGGGCGAACGATCGTGACCTAAAATCGATCGCGTCGTTTCGCGGTACGCTGCTGCATAGCGGTTAATTATTCCACAACGAGGAACGGGGGCGGGGGTTACGGGCGAGGAGGGAGGGTGGATAATGGCGCGGGCTTTAATCGACACGTTATCCAGTATACCGTGTAACGCAAAAAGTTCGCGAAGGTATGAATCGAAGATCTCTTCCTTAACGTGGCGTACGCTTTTAACCCGACAGGTTAAATGAGAAAGAAAAGGGGAACAAATTTAAAAGTGAGTTACCCAGTATACCGTGTACACATTAAAGGTCCGCGAACGTACAAACCGAAGTCCCTTTTTTTTCCGATGAGAACCCGCGCACACCTACGTACGAAAGAAAAAAAAGACAGCGTATTGAAAGTCTATAATTTCAAAAGAGTAGGCACTGAATCGACGTATTATTTCATTACACTATGCATGTAAAGATTCGCCAGTGCACGAATCGAGGATTCTCTAATGGCACTTTTACACGCTTAACAGAAGTAGATAAATAAGTACGGAGAAAGAGATTCTGAGATTGTTCAAAAGAACAATCGTGAAGAACACGCACGCGAATGTGTGCTTTCTTACTCTCCCTTTTGAAAAATCTCGCTGTTTTCTAAAATTCACTTTAGATTTCTAATTCGCAACAAAGTTTTCCGAAACGTATAACTTTCACATGAAATTTACGCATATCCCGATTATTTCTTGCGACTTCTCATACACAATCTCGTCACAAATTATATTTTGCTTAAAGCAAACTTTCAGTCGATTCAGAAAAGAGACTGAAATAGAAAAAATCCACACGAAGAAAGGATTTGCAAAAGATGGACGCGAATCTCGCGACTACGATTCTACTGCGATTCGGTCGAAATGGGGTAAAAAGAAATGAGGTAAATGAGAGAAGGGGAGAGAGAGAATTTTTCTGACATCGCGAAGTGAAAATCAGGCTCCGCTTTGCTATTGGTTCCGATCGGGGGCTGCACTCTCGATTTTTCGATTTTAATCGCGGTCGCTCGAACAATCCGGCCGCGGATGCTCGGTGTCAGCCGTCACCCCCGTCAGGCCACCCCCGTTGCAGCTGTCATCTACGCAGCCCCACGCAGATTCACGCAGCTCTCTCTCCCGGCACGGCTCGCCACGCTACCATCGCCGTCGCGAAGACAGCCACGGCCTT